TCTGCCACTATTTCTGGATTCTTCGTATTTTTCTTTTTTAGAATATCCTGCAGTATTCTCTGTAGGGTTGAATTGGTGGTTGCATATTCCCCTAGTTCCTCTTTATCCTGGAAGCACCTTTTTTTTCCATCAATTTCCAGGGATAGTTGTGCAGGATATATCAATCTTGGCTGGAGGTTATTATCTTTCAAAGCTTGAATTATTTCCCCCCACGCTCTTTGTGATTTGATGGTTTGTGCCTAGAAGTCTGCTGTAATTCTGATGGGTGTTCCCTTGTAAGTGATCTGTTTCTTGTCTCTGACAGCTTTTAATATTCTGTTCTTATATTGGATTTCTGGTATTTTGATTATTATATGCCTGGGTGTAGCTCTGTTTGGGTTGTAGGTGGCTGGGGTCCTGTATGCCTCATACGTCTGAGTATCTTTAACTTTTGCTAAATTAGGAAAATTCTCCTGGATTATTTCTGTGAGTAGCTTTTGTAGTTCATTTGTTTGTGTCCCTACCTCTTCTTTTATGTTCTTAATTCTCAAGTTATAGATCCTCTTATCATCTTCTAGTCTTTGTATTATTGCTGTTTGTTTCTTTGTTATTTTTAAGAAATTTTTCATTTCATTCTCCCATATTACAAATCTGTCCTCCAGTTCAGATAATCTATCCTTAGTTTCTTTCAAGCTGTTATGCCAGTTTTCGATAGAGCTTTTAGTTTCCTGGTAATCTCTTTGAACCTGCTTCATGTATTCTATGTTTTCTCTATTTTCTCCATCAAACAATTCTATCTGTCTTCTTTCACTTAGCTTAATGTTTTCATCCATTTTACATCAAACTTCATTCTTTTCCATGGCTGAATACTATTTCATTTTGTGGATATACCACATTTTGTTGGTCATCTGTTAATAGACATCTTAGTTATTTCCACCTGTTTCCAATTTTCTGCTGTCAACTAGAAGTGAAAATTACTAAGTCCTATATTGATCCTGCATTTAACTCACCAAGGAACTCATGAACTAATTGCCTCCATGACTGCATCATTTTACATTGCCAATGAGAGGTGCAGCTTCCCTGCATTTTTAGAGGTATAGTTATCCTTGTCATTGTGGAGTAGCATCTCATTGTGATTTTGACTTGCATTTTCCTGATTACTCAGGATATCGAACATCTTCTCATGTGCTTATTAGTCACTCATTTGTCATCTCTGGAGAAATGTCTGCTCAAGTCCTTTGCCCACTTTTAAAATAGATCACTTGCCGTTTTGTTGTTCAGTTGTAAAAATCATTTCTATGGTGTTCTGCATACTGGACCTTTATCATATATGCCTTATAAATTGTAAAATATTCTCTGGGTTGTCTTTTCTATTTGTTAATAGGATGCTTTAATGCACAAAAGATCTAATTTAGTGAAATTTAGTGTTTTTCTTTTGTCACTAGTGTTTTTGTTGCTCTTTTTCTTGCAATATTAGGAAAATATCATTAAGATTCAGCCCACAAAGTTTTATCCCTGTACTCTTCTAAGATTTTTATAGTTTTAACTTTTATATTGAGAGCTTGGATCCATTTTGAGTTAATTTTCTAAAGTGTAAGGTATTGGTTTGACAGCATTGGCTTTTTGCATGTGAATATCCAGTTGTATAATTTTATCCATGAATATATCAGCATATTATTTCAAAAGATCATAATTTTTCTTTTATCCAAGGAGCTAGTATATCACTTTTTAAAATACTGTATTTCTCAAACATCATCAAAGGGAATAAAACAAAACAATAAAATGAAACAAAACAAAACAGTGAGAACAATATTGAACTTCAAAGACAGGACACAAAGAAGTCCCCCATAACTGCTCTACTGCATTTTGTTGTTCTCTAAACAGATGCTCTGACTCCCAGCGCCAACCTGCAAAGTCAATCAGTCAGTATAAGCATTAAGTTGTTTTGTACCTCAGTTTCTATCATCCTAGCCTGTGTTCCTGCTAATCAGCCAGTTGCCCATGGAGCTCTGGGGGAGGAGTTCTTCTTGTCACCCAGCCCACGTGTCAGCTGGCTCACAGGAAGGGCGGGCTGACTCTTGGTTCTCTTCCTACCCATGACTGTGTCCGGCTCATGGGAAGGCTAGGCTGCCTGCTTGGTTCTCTTCCTAGCTACAGCTGCTGCTGGCTCATGGGATGGGTGAGCTGACTTCTTGGTTCTCTTCCCTGTTGTCCACATGGTGGCTGCTGGACATCATCGTATATTTAAGTCTGCATTCAAAGTGGGAATTGTCTTAAGAAATTTTTAACAGCTAACTCATTTTAAAATGTAGTGCATCTGTTGCCATTTTTTTGGTAAATTTTCAAAGTGTTTTTAGTTCAGTGTAAGTTTCCTTCCATTTCTCCTTTCTTCACCCTTGTAACTTGTTGAGGAAACTTCCTTGTTTAGACTAATTACCTGGTCTTGATTGTGCTGATTACACCCCCACTGTGCAGGGTCCCTTGATTCTCTGGCCTCTGTAAATTGTTGGGTGATTTGGAATTATATAGGCTTAAACAGATTCAGGATTTTGGCAAGACTGCCTCTTAAGTGACGCTGTATTCTTTTAGCAAGAATCAAGGACTGTTTATTTCTTACTTTTTTATGTTACTAGTCATTGAAGATCACTACCTAAGTCTATTAGTTTATTAAAAAGTACAAATAGTTATATTCTAATTTTATTATATCTTCTCCATTTATTACATGGAACATCTACTTCTATGAGTAGAAGCTTTCTATATTTTATTTTGGATCAAAAAGATAGTCTCTCATTTAGAAAATGGATCATTTCAAGAGATACTTGGATCATTTTAAGGTGTCTGTATTACAACTAATGTTTTAATGTCTTCCCACCATGAGAAGAGGATAGGACTATATCACTTTAGTCATTTCTGTACATATAATGTAGTTTAAATTATTTTGTCTTTTAAACAAAAATATTTTAGGCTTCATTTTTGCCGAGGATAAACTTGTGATTCTCTGTTTTTGCCAGTTTTCAAAATAGTAAGTTGTTTTCTTGTAATAGTTTCATTTTTGGTCTTGGGAGATATTATTAATGCATTTAATTAAGAATATTTAATGTGTATTTCCATTATTTTTGTCGATTTTTAACCTATCCTGTCTTTGACCACAAAGATGCTTTTCAAGTTCACCTCTGAGTTTTGTATATGATTTTGTGGTCTTTGCCAAGTTTCTAGCTATTTTAAGGTATGACTGAAAAATAAAGTGAAGGTTTTAAAATAAATTATTACAGAAAGACACATTGTCTTGATCCATCTCAAAAGACTCCCACTCAATTTAAACGTTTTTCCTATCATTCTTGCCACTTTCTGAAGCAGTTCTGGATGTTGTCTTTCATGAGGGTCTTCAGTTGTGTTTTGTAGCGGCCTCAGTGTCCCAAATTGATTAAAAACATTTGTCTTTCATACTCGTTTTGACTTTGAGGAACAGTCAGAAATCCTGTGGAGCCAGATGCAGTGAATAAGGTGGATGAAGACACACTGTAATACTATTACAAGGCTGTCTTTCCATTGGATGGCGTTGGGCAAGGACAACACTCTATTTTTGATCACCTATTAGACTCTCACAGACATTCACAAAAAAAGGCTTCCAGAACTGCTTCAGAAAATGCCGAGAATGATAGGATAAGTGTGTTCTACTGGATAAGTCAGGACAAATATTTTGAGGGGGGATTAATGTCAATGTGTCTTTCACTGCAATAAAATGTTTAAAAGTTTGAACATTTACCATAAGTTCAAAGAGCTCAAACATCAGAAAATTTTCCAACCTTATCTGGTTGAAAGGTAGTCTGTTTATGGCACTTGCGCATTTCTCTACACAAGCTATAAGACTTTATCCTTACCCTGCTCTTTGGAGAAGATGAGAGGATCCCATAAGGAACCTGGCTTTTGTGCAATCATAAGTCAAGTTAGGTCAAGCATTAGAAACTCACTCATACAATTCATTCCATGTGTTTTTATTGCGTTTTTGTTAAGCATGCAGAGAAAAAGAAAGCACAATTCCTACCTGAAGATTTTGCTTCCTGATGGCTGTCTTTTAGTGTTCAGTGACACAGGACTGATATCAGGAATGTACATTTGAAAAAAGCTAGAACCAACGTTGTGATTTTATTGTGCCTGTGTTCCAATTCTGTCTCTACTATCAATGCAGAGATTGATGACTAATCACTCTGGGTTCCTTTTCTATAATTATAAAAAATGTTAAGTACCTAATAAGGTGACATTTATTGAGGACTATATCTGAAGAAGGAGAAAGGGTGAAAATGGATGTGCTTTTCTAAGCCCAGAAAATGGCTGTGAATGCACGTAGATTGGTTTTCCTCTTCTGATCTTGACTGTTAAGTAAGGGCAATGTTTATTTTCTTCCTATTTTATAAAGTTGCTGAGTACTGTAATGAGTTTACATTTATAGAGTGCTTAGAGCTTTTTGGATGAAAGGTGCTAAATTAAAGTTTATTGTTTATTGAATTTATTTGGTGTATCCAACCTCCTGGGAACATTTGCTGAAGTTAATTAAAAACAGATAGTCCTACCCTGACAGTTTACAGTGCCACTTACAAATCAATGACATAAATAGTGTTACTTGTGTTGTCCTAACTTGGAGATACCCAGGGAACCACAGTTCTCCAGCTAGGGGAATGGTCCTACTTTGTAGAGAAGATGAGTTAAACTTTTGGGTAGAAACACAGAGATATTCTCAACTTTGAGCCACCTACCACTCTCACTTTTAGAATATAGATATTTTCCCCAATTTTTGACTGCAACTTATAGGTTGAAATTATTTTACAAAAAAACCCCCTCTGTTTTCTATCATTTTGGCAAAAAGTTAAGACAAATATTTGTTTTATGTGTTTTATAATCAGCATTTCTTTGCCACAGTATCATTTCAAAACAACCAGCTAGAAGGATTTCCGCTTTCTGAGTCTAGCCTAGTGGATATATGAAGTGTAATTATAGTAAGGGCTTGTTTGTTTCCTTGCCAGTTGGTGATGGAGTTTTGTGGCGCTGGCTCTGTCACTGATCTCATCAAGAACACGAAAGGAAACACACTGAAAGAAGAGTGGATCGCATACATCTGCAGAGAGATCCTACGGGTAGGTAACAACACTGTAAAGTACCACAGGATGACTTGGGAAGTGTTGTACTTTGTTCTAACCTTTGAGTGCAATTCATAAGCATAGCAGAGATCTCTTTAAAGGTTTCTTTTAACAGTGATGGTAGTGGTGGTTTGGCATGCAAGTCTGCCCTGATGGGAGTAAGAGTTATTCTTGACAGGCCATGTGCATATCATTTAGGAGGCTGACACTGGTTGATTTCCCTTAGCAAAGCATTCATTTTCATTGGTGTTCCCAAATAGTCTGATTTGGGTTCAAAAAAATGATCTCCAATTTAGAAAATGTATTATTTCAAGAGATATTTTGATTGGTGATTTAAGGTATCTATTTATATTAGTACCTTAACTTTGTAACTAAAATTGTAATGTCTTCCCACTATGCGATGTATATAAAGACTGTATGACTTTAGTCATTTCTGTACATACAACACAGCTTAATTTATTTTATCTTTTAAACACTTATCTTTTAGGCTTACTCACTTAAATTGTCAGACTAGCTGGATAAGTTTGTCTTTTGCCCAGTTTTATCCACATAATCTCATGTCAGATAATAAAGATAACAGTATCATATTTAGTTTAGTTCAGGGAGAAAAAGTAATTGGGCATATTTTGTTTCATTTAGAGTAATACAATTTTCTCTTGCTAGTAATATGGAGGCTACTATTTGTCTACCAAGCTTTCATACTAGCACTGCATGACAATTATTATTTATTTTTGAGCTCTGCCTTCTTAATTTAAAGGGAACAATCAAAATTATTTTTCACAATGAGTTGAAAATAAGACCTTGAGAAGTTCATTATATGCTATGAATAGATGAATGGATGGATGGATTGATAGAATAACATTAAGGAAAGAGAAAAAATGTAGAAAGATGATGTCTAGCCACTAAATGTAAACCACATTAAGCAAATGACAAATAGCACATGAAATTTTTAAAAGATGGCAGTTGACAATGACACAAAATGTCAAATATTTAGAAGCTAATTTACAGAAACAAGTGTATGACATCTGTTTTTAAAAACTAAAAAATATTGTTAAGGGAAGTTAAAGACTGTAATAAAAGAAGGGCCATTTCCTGGGCTCGAATAAATTATATGGTAAAAGATGTCATTTCTCCAGGTTTGATCCATGCTTTCTTTGAACTCCTAATCAAAAGTCCTGTAGCTATATATATATGAACAGTGATAACTTGCATTTTAGAAATTAAATGGAAATGTAAAGGCCCAGAATAACCACAGAAATCTTAAAAGAAGAACAAAAGTAGAGGATTTAAACTCACGGTTATCAGAATTTATTATAAAACTGCTAAATAATTCAGACAGAGTAATATTGCCATAAGATTAGACAGTGGCCAAGAGAACAGAGTCTAGAGCCCTTGAAAGGACACATGTCATGTGACACTGGATACATAACAAAGCAATGCAGCTCTCAATGGGAAGAAAGTACTTTTACCAGTAAGTAGTGCTCAGTCAGTTCACTAACGAAGCCATAAAGTCAGCATCTAATTTGTGCCGTATTAAAAGCTCATTCCAGTAAGTATAAATGTGAAATACAGTAAAACTAACATTCTTATGAGCAAACATAGAATAATATGTTAATAGCTTAGGTAGGCAAAAAAGATGTCTTAGTGTGAGAGCCCAGTTAAATCAGGTTGGTTTTCTGTGCAGTGACAGTTGATGTGTCTGTTACTTCTCGCACTACGGTGTGGACTGCAAAGCACGCGTGTGGGAAGCAAACCGTATTGCATGTGGTTTGGTGGTTGTTGGTAGCAGATCTGGTTTGCAAGTGTTTTATTTACCACAGCACCATGCAATGCAAGGACTACATGCATATTTCAGTTTACGGTGGTCATTTTCTTTCGGTTTCAGTAAGTACGATGAGCACATGAAGGACATGAATATAATTCTGAGAGTGTTTCTGAGTGAGTTTAATCTAGAGGGATCATTAGCATTAACAATAGATTGTTTGGTCTTGGCTTATGTTCTATTGACTCTGTCGCCTCTCCATTTCTCCAGGGGCTGAGTCACCTGCACCAGCATAAGGTGATTCATCGGGATATAAAAGGGCAAAATGTCTTGTTGACTGAAAATGCAGAAGTTAAACTAGGTAAGAACAGAATCTAGGAAGTCTAGGAACTGCTGGCATGGACAGCATTATTTCAATAGCTCTTTTTCTTTTTTTTCCAAATGAGTGTAAATTTGTCATTGAGTGTGGAGGACACTGTCATAAAAATAGAACAAAAGATGTTTTGGTCTACTTAAATTTTTTCTAAAAGCATTTTAAGAAATGGATTGTACATAATATGATGAACAAAACCACATGCTTAATCAATGTATAGTTGAAATTTTTGTAGTAAAAATTAGACATGACAGACCTTGAAACTGTCTCCTACATTTGTTTGTTTGCTTTGTGGTTGCTATGGCAGAGCATTTAAGGTTTTTTTACGGAAAATATCCATAGTTAGACTTATTTAGGACAGTTGATTCCTCCTGTATCCCCATGTGTTTAAGGTTTATTTACATTGACTTTATTTCCTAGGGCAAGTGAACAAAATGGATGCTCAGTAGCCTAGGCCAGTACTGATTATCTCATGTCTGTCTGGCAGAGCGAGCGGCGGAGCATCCTTTTCTTTGGCATATCTGCTAGAGGCCTTCCCACAAGCCTAGAATTGCCAAATAAAAGAAAACCCCTACATGTGTTCCCTGCTTGAACATGAGTGGACACATGTCCTATAGCACATGCAATTTGTTACCTAGAAAGAATCACTGTCCCTATAATTACTTATTTTGAAAGATAGTTTCCTTTTTTATTAGCACTTAGAGCCAAACTTTCATCTCACAAATGCTTCCTTAAAAAATGTGAAATATATATATATGCATATATATATATATATATATATAATGAACATCCTCAGAAGATTCATTCATACTATGTAACAGTTATGTTGAGAATGTATTATATATGCCATTCCACTTTCAAGAAACTTGGACTATCTTGTGTAAATATAAGAATAACTCTGTGTAAATGTCAGCATCTTCATTTGATAGATTAGCAAACGCAAACTGAAAGAGGCTGACGTACTAACCATAGCTCACACTGCTGCCCAGTGGTAGAAAGGGGACTTCTACAGTATGACCCTCATCTTTAGCTCTTACTCATTTTTTAATGTGTTATCATTCTGGCAACCACGCTTGCCTTTTGTTGAGCACCTTTATTGGTCCCCACAGAGTCTTGTTGTAACTAAATATAACACTCTTATGATTTACTCATTGATATACTTCATTAATGCATACATGCAATTCAGATAAAACATATTCACATTATTGCAAAGACAGGTGCAACCCAAATTCTTACCAACAGATGAATTGATAAATGAAATGTGTATCTATATTCAGTGGAAGATTATTCAGCATTTAAAAGGAAGGTATTGCAATCCTGTGATCCAGCACTCTGAGAGGGGCAGAGGCAGAAATTGCAACTTCAAGCCTAGCCTGGACAATATGGCGAGAACCGATTTTAAAATAAAAATTTTCAGAAAAGGCTAGGCCATGTAGTTTGATGCAATCCTTAGTACCTGAACTTAGTGCCTACTACCTCCCAGAAGGAGGAAGAGGAGGAGGAGGAGGAGGAGGAGGAGGAGGAGGAGGAGGAGGAGGAGGAGGAGGAAAAAGAACAAAAAAATGAAAGAGAGAGAGAGAGAGAGAGAGAGAGAGAGAGAGAGAGAGGAGAGAGAGAGAAAGAAAGAAAGAAAGAAAGAAAGAAAGAAAGAAGGAAAGAAAGAAAGAAAGAAAGAAAGAAAGAAAGAAAGAAAGAAAGAAAAGAAGGAAGAAAGAAAAAATTCTGACATGTGATCAACATCGGTGAACTTTGGGATACTGTGCTAAATTAAATGTCAGACTAAAACACAAATACTGAATGATTCCACTTATGAGTTGTCAGATTTGTACATAAAGAAGGTGGGGGATATTGCCAGGAGTTGGGGGCAGGGAAGTCAGGGGTCATTGCTTAATGAGTGTTGAACTGGTGAAGATTAAAAAAAGTTCTGGGGATGAATGGTGGCAATGGTTGCACAGTGTGAACCTGCTTAATACCTCTCATACATACATCAGAAAATGGTTAAAATATTAAAATTTGTATTGTGTATACTTTAACATTAAGAAGCACAGTTTTTTTTTGTCATCCTGCAAAACCTTCTGTCCTAAACTTGATTCAATCGTCTTCTCTTTGTTAGTGGACTTTGGGGTCAGTGCCCAGCTTGACCGCACAGTGGGCAGGAGAAACACTTTCATTGGGACGCCCTACTGGATGGCACCGGAAGTCATTGCCTGTGATGAAAACCCAGATGCCACATATGATTTCAAGGTGTGACTTCTTCATTGTATTTTAAAAGTATGTCTGGTCTCACATTCTGAGTCTTGTAGCGTGAGAATTCTTATGGGCTTTTGGGTTTGCAATTTATCTGCTCCAAAAGGGAACTGAGAAATATTATCAGAGTTTTAAATCATCAAGCATTCAAGTGAGAATCGTTAATGAATTCACCCACTATATCTGATTGACATCTGAAAAATAAAAATAGTTTAAATCATTTTCTGTATTCCTTTGAATTTGCTCTTATTTTTAATCCTTGAAAATACTCGCTTTCATTTTTAGTTATAGTTTAAAATTTTGACACAATATATATTCCTTATGTTTTTCTTGTTCGTTTCCTAGCTCTTTCTTTTTAATTTCTTTTTCAACTGATACTTAAAAATGTAAAAATTGTACATATGAGTAGGGATCTGTGTAATATTTCAAAACATATATACATTGTATAATGTTTAAGTCAGGTTAAACATATTTATCTCCTTAAATATTTACACTGCTTTTTTTTAAAAAAAAAAAAAAAAAAAAAAAAGACTTTTTACTTTGATACAGGGTCTCTGTAAATCGTAACATGGCTCAAACTAAGCAGTCCTCCTCCCACAGTTTCCCAGTACGGGGACAAGTGAGAACTTTCTAAATCCTTCTTTCTAGTTCCAATATGTACAGTACATTACTATTGTCTAAAGTCACCTGACTTTGTACATACTGATTGACTTTGCCCCATCTCTCCCTCTCCCTAAGTACATGTTCTGGTAGCTTTTTTGTTACAAAAAACCAGTATATGAATTTGTTGTCTAAGGGCATCTTTTCCTGATTAAGAATAATCAGACTTACGATTTTTATATTGCTCACAGTGCAATTTTTTTGGAGTTTTGTTTCTGTGAGAGAATCCAATGGGATCTTGGTATCTACTTTGTGACGTTTCTCTAGCATAGCATGGTGGTCCATAAAAATTGACTTGCAGCTAGTTCCTTTTCACATGAACTGGGAATTTATTAGTGAATTCAAAGGAGTATTCAAATAGACTTCCCTAAGAAGCCTTTGCTTTTCTATTTCCTTGGCCAGTAATCACATGACTTGGGGTTACTGTCTTACCAAGAGCTGCAGTGTCCGGTGACATTGTGTTGTCTAGATTTCTGGCAAGTAAGACAGACTGGGGACAGTCTGTGGAGTTTTAGACTGTGCATTAGGTGGAGAGACACCCTGTGGACAAAACTTGATACTACCTGGGCTGGTTTTGAAGCATAAGGACTGTTCCTCCAAATGACTATAAAGATTTTCTCTAAATATCCTCCTCTTAGACCAGAGGAAACTCAGGCCTCAGGTCTTTGAAAGTGCACACCTTAGTGATCTCCTAAGAGTAAGAATTTCAGTCTGGTCTTCAAACTGTCCAGACCTCTTCCCAATAGATTGCCCTACTCCTCTGTACATCTCCAGTTTGCAAGAGTGTATTTAGAGAATTCCATTTTTAAAGAACAGTTAGTTATCCATGTTTGGCATTGTTATTGTCATCAGGTCACAGAGATGCAAATATTTCAGCGTCTTTGGGACCCAATGTCTCCGGGCATTGACAAAATTATTTGCTTCTTTTGGGAAATGCAAGCTCGAAGGTTTGAAAACATAATAATTTCCTCCTTCTTTCAAAGTTAGTCACTTTAATAACCTGACAACAATCTGTCTGAAAATAGCTGCCAAGTTAAAAATTAATCTCCTGCCAAAATAAATGTCATTTATTTAAACTGCTAATGATAAGCACATTTGAATAATTTCATTTTCAAATCCCTTCAGAGGACTCACTACAAAATATATGTGCCAGGCCAGATATGTGTATCATAATTGGCTATAAGCAATCCTTCAAATTGTAGTCATCTTTAACAAGTACTAACTAGTTAGTAATCTACTGGGCCATTGGTATTGTAGATTCCTGTAACATACCATGAAGGATGAGAATGTTTTAGACTTTTACCCCAGCTTACCCTTTTAAGAATTTCGAGTGGATAGATTAGACAAGAAACTTTTGTTTTGTGCCATAGAATAGATCCCAGGACTAGCTTGTTTTCAGGAAACGAACTAGGAGAAGCCTTCCTTCTGGCTAAGTAAACGCTTAGAATTAAACTAATATCTTGGTCCTCTTCCCTCAGGCTATAGGTTAGAAATATCATTAGGAGTCTGTAAAATTTGTGAGACCAAGTATGCACACAGCCCAGGATGTGACTAGCCACAGGGGTGCGTCGTAATGCACAGACAGGGTGAGTTCAGAAGTTTCACCTGACTGTAAAAGCATCCCAAGATAGTTAAAAGGTTCAAAGATTCTTATTGGAAAGAAGAAGTTCAACTATATCGATCACTTAGATGTTAGTTTTTCGTATTGTTATGAGTATAGGCTGTGCAAGAAGATGATAAAGTGTTGGCAAGAATACAAGCTTCATTTGCAACCTGTCTTGGGCACCAGAAGGAGCATCACCCAAGGATGAATAAGGGAGGGAAGGAAGGAAGGAAGGAAGGAAGGAAGGAAGGAAGGAAGGAAGGAAGGAAGGAAGGAAGGTTGGTTGGTTTGGGACTTCTCTGAAGATGTACTTCAACCTCTTCACAGCATTACCGTGGAATAGACAATGCTAATCTTTAAATAACCTTCTTCTTCCTTGCTGATACCATAACTTGTCCTGTCTTTCTGTTCAGTGTTCTTGGAAAGGTGGTCTGCCACCAGGAGAAGGTTTTACAAAAGTTTGACTTTCAAAATTTTTTATTCATTCATTCAGTGTGTACTTACTGAATGCCTACTGAGTGTAAGGAGTTAGCCAAGATCTACCCATTGTAAGCAGTTTCCAACTACAATTTATTCAAGACCTCACGAAGCCCAAGGATTTAGCCCTGTGTGATGGATGCTCCCTGTAACCAGCAGGCCTTCCCAGCCTCAGTAACTGATGCCACCACTTTGGACTCTCTTTTCTGTATTAGATACTTGAAGCGAGGACGGCATATTTAAAACAAAGATGATTTAAAGACCACTGGATGTGTTGAACTCCCTACCACAAAGCCCTTGTTTTAAAATTTTAAAAATCAAAAAAAAAAGAGAGCTTAGTTATTTGATTTTTTTATTGATTATTAATGATTGACTTTCTGCTTTGTCTAAGATGTCTCTAAAACCAAGTATGTATTTAAAAAATTAAAGTAATTCAGTATGACAAGGGCCTCTGTAGGAGAGTAATCTGTAGAGCACATGGGTTTCATCGCAGCCTGGTTTTGTGTGATAGCTCTGGGTACAGTAAGTAACTCACTGAAAATAGACCTTCTTCTGAGGAGGAACGCTGGAATCTCATTTGCTTTGTGTGCTGGCTTTCCCCTGGAGGCCCTTCCTTTCTTGTTTTCAGAAATTCTGTCAAAACACTTCAAGTGAAAGGAAAGGTTTCATTTCCCTGATAAGTATGCAGGGCAATAATGAAAGCTTTCCCACTTAATAATAAGCACTCAAAAGATTTGAAATTAATAAAACCATTCACAATTCTTAGACTGTTTAAGCTGTTATTTTTAAAAGTTACTTTGAATTTTATTGCAAATGACTGGAATCTACCAAGCATTTTATAATCCTATGTATTTATTGCCTGCAAAGAACCACCCACTCAAAGAATTTCTCTGTAGCCAAATGCTCATCAATAGGAAATTTACCAAATTTCTATTCAGTGGAATACTATGCAGCCATTTTGCCAGTGAAGTAGCATATATTTTGGATTTAAGCAGATGCCGAGATACTATCTCAAGTGTTAAGTACAGAAAACAACTTACAGCATAGTGCTTATAACAGCCTCACCCCTCATACGTATTTATGAGAAATCTCAAACCCCTAAAATTGTTTTATTTCAAAATAGGGCGTATGGGTGATGAACTTAAAATTCTTATTTTATGTAACTTTTGGTACTGTTCCAATGTTTTTGCCATGAACAGGCCTTGTTCTTGTATTAAACTAGCAATGTGAGATGTCCTGTCCTCTCATCCCACAGTGAGAGGCTCTGTCTTTGGGACTGATCTGTGCTATGCTGTGTATTACTCACCAGCACTGTCTATAAGACATTCCCCACAGGTGCTGTGGATTCCTTTCAGGGTTTGGGGGAATGTTGAGTTCTATATGAGATGGTTTGATTTATTCTCCCGTATCACTGATACTGGCTTTATTCATACAGTCTGGAAATAGCTCCTTGAGTGAAAAGCTCAGATAAGAGAGAAAGTGAGGGAGTTACTGTGATGCACGTGTCACCTGAGAGGACAGTGTTCGGCTTGTAGAATGGTGCATTTACACTCACAAAACAGGCCCTGGCTTCTATCTGCTGGTAGATCCTGCTTCCCTATTTGGGAAATGAGACACCATCTTAGTGTCACCAGCCTGAAGCTGACACTTCTGTTAAACGTGTTTCTGTTGTTCCTGTGGTCAGAATCCCCTTTATGGGATTCTTTAGTTGGGCCAGCCAGCACCTCCTAGAGGCAATGAGCCAAACCTAGAAGAGAGTATTTTTCAATAGTTTCCCTTTGGCGTATAATAAATGCAGGTAGATAGGGACTAAAGATATCTGTCTTCAGTTTGTTTCATTTATAAAATAAAATTACTAAGAATTTTCTCTGCTTAGACATCCTTAGTAACTCTGAACTCATCCGTTTAGTATTCTTTATGTGTAACAGTATGTAAGTATGTGACATAATGAATGAAGTCAGACAAGACCAGTTTAAGGTTCAGTGTAGTACCTCACAAGAATTAATTAATCTTTGTGAGACTGTATGAAATGGAAATCATAAATTGTATCTCAAAAAATTGTAACAGAATAAATGAGATACACATGCGCGCACACACACAGTGGAACCTCAACTCTCAAACTTGGTTCATTCCATGATTCTGAAAACAATGGCCACCCCATGTTCATGCAAGAAAGATGGTCACGGTTGTGCAGTCCCCCAATGCAGAGTTTGTAAACAAAACCAAAATTTTGCCAAATGCCTCTGCTTGCAAACCA